TGTGTGCGTGTGTCATTGTTTATTTTTACCTTTTTTCGCACAGTTTTCAAACTCTTTCTTCATGTCAGCAATGAAAGAGATGTGCTCTTCTGGTACAATGTAAGGAAGCCTGCCAGGAATCAAGACAAAATGTAAAATGGTTATTAATCAATTCCACATGACTCAAAGGCATTGATTTTATATAACATTTTTTAAAAAATTTTGTTATAAAAAGGATGGACCGATTAATAAACAATGTTTCATATATACATGTACTATAAACACTTGATAGCTATGGTACCTTGTATGAAACTGTATAAACTATCTCTACACCAATAACAAAAATGTGAATCGTGCTTAGAATGTCACTATTGTCGACTTACAAAGTCCAAATGTCGTCCTGTTTGGACACATGTCGCCTATGGCGACGGTCTCGATCTCTACCTGACTCGGGCATTACAAGAATCTGCAAGGAAAAAAAAAATCAAACGATTTATTTTACCACAGAATATGTTTTCGAACAATCACACTGCAATACACCATTAAATACCATTAAATCTTAACATTTTCATACAATTTATTCTTTGGTCCAAACATGCACATCTTCGAACTGAAATCGACTACTTTTCATGCTGCCCACAGCAATTCGTTCCGTTTTAGCGTTATGATAATTGATTCGTGTTATATTCATACTGCTTTGAGTAAGATAGATATGATCATTATTTAGTTAAAATCTTGTAAATTCACGAAGAAATGCAACCAAGAAGAAGTCGCACACTGACGCGGCTGCATGGCGACGGAAAATTTCGACAGACTACGATTAAACAATTTCCCATGAATTTTCGGTACTATTAAGCCTCAATATTTCGTACAGAGAAGAAGCTGTACTTAAATTATATGAATATGCTTTAATAATACCTACCTTTAACAATGATATAGGCAAATAATCAACTTGAAACGTAGATACAAGTCTCAACACTAGGAATCGCGAGTTGCGGTATACCACAATGCTTTGCGCTATTGTAAACAAAAGCTGCCGGCAGCGCCCCTGGTGAGACGAAATTAAATAAACGTTTTTCACGTTTTCATGCAATTTGTACTTGTATGATTAATTTTCGACGAAATGGAGAGCTTTGTTGCTGAATACGGCTATGAACATTTTGATTGCTTTTATATTTGCGCATAGCTTTCCACTGTGCAGTATTTTAACCTCAAATCCGTTACCATGCATTTTGCTGCAGAAACAAGAGGACCCATCTGTAGGCCTATGCTTTTTGTTACATCAAGAAGAAACAATGGACCAATTTTACCAGAAATGGACTGATTTTGCAGCTTTTTAATTATGTATTTTTACGACCGTTTTGATCTTGTATGCAAGTAACACGCTTACAGCACCAAACGAAATATATCTGTGGACTTTCCCGTTTTTTCTATTATCATATAAATAGGGGGCCTAACGCTCACCGTTTCGGAAGAAACAACCGAGCTGATTTTACTAATATGGCCAATAATGAATGCATTTCTGTAAAAAAAGAAATTCCATAGGAAAGAACATCGCAGGGCTAGCGTTCTGGCAACTCGACAATATAAGGGACTTTAATCAGTCTGCATGGGAGAAAAGTCTGTAGGCCTAACACTATAATAATTTTCAGAAATGTCCGCAGTCTATGGCCAAGAAGATCCAAGGGGCAAAGATCAGCTTTCCATGTTAGACCCTCCTGTGATATCGGCTCCTGGGCAGCTGTTGTGCTTTAATCACGCGTCACTGAGGGACACTTTCCGTCAGGTGGCGACACTGTATGGTACTTACCAGCACGTAGCGACACTCAGTGGCAGATGCTGAAAGTGAACCCTCGTTCTTTTTTTTTTTTAAGTTTACATGACCACCGCTGATAAAAAACAAACAAACAAACTAAAGACCAGCAACTTATATTTATTATTTCTCAAAACAATGACACAATACAACATAGTGGTTTTTCTTGGGAACCCATCTACAGAACATTACTTCTTCATCTGCGTTTAATGAATGTGTCTTGAGCTGTTCCCTAACAGAACAGAATAGAACATTGGGCGAGTGAGGGCAGGGAACTGGAGGGGGTGGGGGTGGTAGGGAGCACACCCGGCTTCTGGGCTGTGACGAGAGGTGAAATATTTTGACAATCTTTAAATCTAGGCAAATGTTTTCTGAAAACAAAATGGCAAGCCAATGTGAATTGCTTAAACAAATTAATCCATAAAATTGCAACAGACTTCTTATTAACTATATGGTTTTATAAGCAAAACTATGAAATTGAGTACTCGGGGGGTTGACGGTCAATAAATTCGATCGCAGTTTTTTCACTCTGTGGTTGCATCCTTTTCTTTCTCCGGGTCTTTTTCGACGGGGCTTTTGTTTGCCCAAACTCTAAGACCCATTAATTTAATCTTACACACAACATATACCTTGCTTTTTGGAAAACTGCACTTAAAATGGAATTCTGTTAATAAATCTCAGCTAAAATTAAACAATAAACCTCAGACTTTAAATCAACGATCCAAATTCTTTCGATAAAACCAAACCTTGTAAAGCAGCAAACGATCTTTGCCCAGACGCAGCTGGGTAACATGAATCGTGCTATGATAATAAAAATCGATACATCTATGTCTGGAAGAGGACCATTATTACTCAAATATTACACCAACGCCAGACTTAAAGCTGTTAACACCACAGATCAACGGAACGGGTGCTGGTTTGTTTTACAAAACGCCTTTAAGTTAAGTTTTTGAGCTTAGGCGACGGTAGGAAGCGTTTAGATTAGGTTATCCCTTGCTTTGTGGATGACTTTTCTTATCTTGTGATATGAAAAAGATTGTCGAGCAAATCGCTTCTGCGTCTATTCTGTTCCTGCCAGTGTGAACCCACTTTAGCTCCGCTGTAATGTCAATGAAATGTTTCAAAGGGTACACATATACATGCCTTAAATTACGTTTTAAATGATATTTACCGTGTCTGTATTTGAGACATGTATTCAACATTAACATAATTTACACGAATCGAGCTAATAAAATTTAACTAACACTGGATAAAAAAATCGTCGCTCGAACATTTGTTTTTTCTTTTTTGAAAGGGAGGGGGGGGGGGGTAAAGGTGACATTTTTTGGTTCAAAATCTAAAGAAGCTACTCGCTTTAATAATAAATAAAAAAAATAAATAAAAATAAACAAACGCTGTTGAATTAATTTTGCTGCTATGCAATAGTCTAGAGTACAGCATCAATGTATTAACAGCAGTTTTTTTAGCATGATGTAAAGGTGATCAAGAATTTATGTATGAACTTGACTTCATCCCAAAGCTGGCCTCTGGTTCTGAGTACCAGCTGGGGGTGTTCTGACCACGTGGGGTTAGGGGCGTGGCCTTGGGAATAATTGATTCGTCTGGTTCTCCCAGTCCATTTCCATTTTGTCGCATAAATATATATATATATATATATACTGTTCAGTTAAACTGTCACACCTTAAGGGTGCGCATTTCGACATTACGCTTTGTAATAACTAGATTTGACATCTGTAACAATTGCCTATCATTTCTATCGTTGGCGGCAATAGCTGTAACTATATTATATGGACATAAGTGTAATCTCAAATAATTCAGAGCTTTTTCCAAGCCTATCTGGCCATGTCTCTTGTACATGTAGGAAGAAGATGAAGGAAAACTAACATTTGCTACAAACCTAACACACGAACTATTTGCTAATTAACGTTGGATCCATACACAGATATAGTTCCACGTTTGGTATCACGCCCTTGCTATACAATGTAGAAAAGCTATACTTAAGAGAACTATATCTGTATTTACACTAATATACTGGGAATCTTTGAGATCCTGCCAAGCTTTGACATTTCTTACATCTTTGGCTTCGTTCACACGGGTCGAACCTGTTGAGCTTCAGTTCCGATCCTCTGCCGTGCAGACACACACAGCGACGAAAGAAAACTGATTGCATTCTGTACTCAGCATCCACAGTATAGGCTACAGGAATCAACGCATGAATGATTGCAATCAGTTTTCTTGGTCTTAACGGAACGTGCCAAAGTGCGCTTACTTGTAGAGCATCATGAATAGTAACATAATTATATTTGAAAAATACCGGATCTGGAACCGGATCACCTCAACTGGTGATCCGTGTGAATGTAGCGTTACATATATCAACAGTCTTGAAGTCCAGTGTCATACAGAACACCAATTCGTCTACAGCGATATTAAGCCACAGACTAACATTACCATGGAAACAGTATAGTACGGGCCATCTCATTGGTTACAGTAATGTTTCATGCTGGCCAATCAGTGTTATTGATGACTTTTTTTGTGATTTTTCGATCCAATCAATTTTATTTAGAGTCAAATGTCTCCACCAATTAGGGTAAATGTAGCAATCATCCAATCATATGTGGGTTTACATCAGCAGGAACAGCCTCCCTCTTGGTCCAGTTCCGTTGGTTCTGGAGATTTTAGCTCAATTGGGGCTGAGAGATAGGGTTAAGGAAATTTGCAAAGCTTCTTTTGGAAAAAGGAAAAAATAAAGGCAAAACAAGTCCCCCCTCGAAAAAGTTCGTTTCACCGATTCTTGTAACTTAAAATTCTGAAAATAAATAAATTAGTAAATGAATAAAGCCTCATACTTCAGCCAAGTTTGGAGTAACGAAAGCCATTAAGAGAGGATATACTCACTTTCAATTTTCCCAGTTTCATAAAGGTTTTATTTAAATAATTAAACTTTGAGAGAGGCAACGTTCTACGGAACACTATAAATTGTGAAATTAAAGTAAAGGATGGTGGCTGTTATTCCTCGCTATTCCAATTATTCAGAAAAGGGGATCATAAAAGGTAAAGGGTCACAGTAAGTCACGTCTTTCAAAACATGCGATGCTCATTCATATTTTTCATTCCTTTTTACACTTACATCCGGTAGGGTACAAAATAAGGACGAAAATCGACACACATGCAAAATCATTAACTCAGAAGAAAAAGAAAGACGGTCAAGCAAATATTATGACGTTTTATTTCCACTACATACAAGTATGACTTCAAAGTTTACAAGCACCTTATAATATCTTCGAGGTTTACATGTCCAAAAACCAAATCTGTGCAGTAAGTATAAACCAAGATCCATCTTATTTTCCATACCAAGTATCTGAAGAGCAACAGGGAATGGCGAGGATCTGGTAACGCCATCTTTCATAACCCAATCATAACCCAGATTAGTTCGAGGTCATTGCGATGACCTAGATTGAAACGACCCACATTGAGATCTAGGTCACTGCGTTGGCACCAAACGAAACGCAATGTCAGCCAATAAAAGATGGCGTCACTGCCGTGTTTTGCATTCGTCATGTGTGGGGAAGAGATAATGCAAGCAAAATTAGTCTATTAATTGAGAAAAAAAATTATCACAAGGGTGGCAGGATGTTACAGATAATGCAAATATGCTCAGCTTCAGTTATTTTACAAAGCATAACACCAAAGGCGGTTCTTTTTTTTACCAGCCTACTTCTGTGCTGTATTTTCTTCCAGACTCAACTCGTCATTCTACTTTATCATACCTATCTATATCACTAATTATGGACATTTGGTAAATCTCTTTGAAGTTTCATATAAAAAAACAATTTTTTCGTTAAATGCATCCTCTATACACGATATTTACATATTGAACAACCCCAAAAATGGTTCCCCCTCTTCTTCTCCCCAAAAAACCCTCAGAACAGCTTGCAGCTGGCGTGACATAACCTCTGCCAAACACATTAATGACACATTCCCAACAGTGGGTATGCTATATTACAATCAATAAATACTGTGAAATAATTTTTATATAGATATGAACCCTATCAGAAACGGATTTCCTTTTCTGACATTTACTTTTCATATTATTTAAGAATCGTCATGTTACTTTTCATGTTATTTAAAGATTATATACCACAAGATGTGAACATACTTCAGGGATATGCCAAGTTGTTATTTTAACATCTAACGTATTTCCTAGAAGCACTCAAAATAAACTTTCTAATGAAAAATAAATAGAGTGACATTATGAAATGCCACCAGTGAGCTGGAGAGATTTAAATACTTGATATATAGGAAGCGTATCACTGAAAAAAACTGCCTCTTTTCTATTGCAAGTACCATCAAGTGGTAATTTACCAGAATAAGCGCTTCTGCACAAGGTAAATAACTTTAAAAATATTTGGTCCTTTATTTTTTTTTTCTACCTGTAAATATAAGGCAATCTGGTTTGAAATGAGCACGTAAAAACAAATATACTTTTGTTTCTTATTTAAACTGCATTCTCTGGCTGTTTTACATATAAAGTTCTATGACCATGAAGATAATCTGATTATTTTTCATACTGTCTGAAAAGCCCAATAATACACCCATCAACGTATACGAACCTCCAATGAAATGCCTTCTTACAATACAAAAAGAAAGTGTTGGAACCAATCTTAACCCAATTTTCATATAGATATCACAAAAAACATCCCATGAAATCCCTTTTTAACAAAAGAACACCACCAAAATAGCAGTTTGTTGGATGGAACCAATCATGACACAGTTTTCATTCAGATTTCACATGAACATCCAATGAGAAGTCTCTTTACATTCAGCTAGCATGCACAGCCGCCGGCTTGTTTCTCGGGTTCTGCGGGGGTTTCTTTAAGCTTCACTTCGATCACTGAGAAGCGACGTTAAGGAAATAACGTAAAACAAATAATAGAACAATTAAAAGAAATAAGTTGGTTGATAATCGTGCAAACATTTAATACAAACATGCTAGGTAAAAAGTACCAAACAAAGAGCTATGATTTTGTCTTGATCTTGTTGCAAACATCATATCAAAAGCCCATTAACAAATCAATGTTAAAGGCATAATAACTCTTTGTATGAGACCTATATTTCACAATAAAAACCTTGTGAATAACTCATAGAAATATAATATATTCTGTTTTACCACAAAAACAGCAGTTATAGCTTTTATTCTGATATTTGAACTTGTCTTTAGACCACGTGACCTCCATTGATGTCTATACTCTGTTAAAATCTCTTAAGAGATTTTAACAAAAAACCAAACTTTTTAGAAAAAAACCAGGGACTTACTTTGAATGTAAAAATGGATTCATTAGCCATTGGTAAGCATGGGAAAATTGTTGTTTACTCCAGGAAAATTCATTTTTTGGCCGAAACGAAGAGTTATTATTGCTTTAATGAATTCTTGAATTTAAACGACCATGCAAGGTAAAATTATATCAAATACAATAACAACAACAATTACTTGTTTGCTAGCTAAAAATTGAACACAAGAACTATCAGACTTCAAATAAATAAATAAATAAATAAATAAATAAATAGTTAATAACAAGAAACCTCAAAATGAAAATTATTTTAGTGATATTATGTGCTCAACGATGATCCATTGTGGTAAGAAAAAATAATCTTATTGTTGATTGCAATAAAAGAAATAAAAAATTAGGAATGAAAAACAAGTAATAACAATATAATAACTTCACACAAATATTCAGCACTTGTGATAGTGACTTTTTTGTACAAATAAATCAAACCTGACGAGATATATCTATCAATCAGAAGTGCTATAACACATATAAGTGCAACTCTCATGTAGAAAACAAATTGATAACATGTAAATAGAGAGCACATAAATAAAAAGAATAGTAAGGTAAGAAGTTGAAGGAACACAAAATACATTTCCCCCAAGTGATGAAAAGCGAAAAAAAAAATGAAGAAAATACAGAAATGCAGACATCTTTAAAGTCACACAAAATTCTTTTTTAATCCATAAAAATAACTTTTATGTGGGCCTTTGAGCTTTGGGGTTTTCAGTCGATTTTTTTTTAACTTTAAAAAAAAGGACAGTCTTATGTTACATTTTTGACATTAAAGTACATATATTAAGCTTAGCTATGCAATATAGCAACATATGAAAGAGAAAATATAAAGCTTGGCTTTAAGGTGTAACATGGGCAACCAAAATGATCCCTCCAATATATGTAGCTTCATGCCTTTATATTTTTGTTCAGTGTATATATATATATAACATGGACAACAAAGCCATGATTTCTCCAATATAAATCAAAGCATACATCAAGTCTTAGCTGTGAGGTTTAACATGGACACCCCCTGGTCTGGTCAGCGGTGGTGGCGGGGGTCTGGGGGGTTAGGACCACCTCACTTACTGAGGACATGGTTAAGGTTTCACAACATTAACAAACAGCAACAACATCGTCACAACACTACATTACAATACATGTTATCCTATGTTACAAGGCAATAGTTACACTGTAATATCTATCAAGAAAAAAAAAAAAAGGGAAAAAGAAAAGAAAGAAAGAAAAGAAAACACTGCTCTATGACTTTATAGCAACAAAATAATTACAGTGCTGCAGTGCAAGACAACAGTTGCATGATATATCTAGCGAGAAAAGAAAAATAAAACTACAATGTCCGTTGTAACTTCAGAATAACAACTCTGTCTGTTACAATGTTAGTTTAAATATTACTTAGACAGGAAGACAGCACACAGTACATCTACTGTAATATCTGGACTAAAATGCTTAATGTATAACACTATGGAACAGACTTGCTGCATCTAACTGGTGTTGTTACTACACGCACTACTATTTCAGTAACTGCTACCACTACTATTACTACTACTACTACTACTACTACTACTACTAGAGATCAACACCCTGAAATGAAATCAATGCTGCCCAACCTTTAACCACTGCTGCACTGAGTTCCCTAGTCATGCTTCCAGTTGAATCCACCTAAGCTGGTAAAAAGAATTTTATCAAGCTGCCCCACAAGATACCAATGTAATGAAGTTGGACTTGAAATAATGGTGTGCGAGACACACAGTGATCAGATGAGCCCGCAATGGTGACCTAATCATAATCAGGCTGCCAGGTTACGATTATCCCACCACAGGGAGATTATCTTTTGTCACCTGACTGGTCTCAATGACTACTGGTGTGTGGGATACACATGGATTAGATTGGCAGTCTATGGTGACCTAATCACAATCAGACCACGAGCTGTGATGTGCTCTGCCAATTTTGGTCAACTCATCATAAGTGGTTATTTAACTTTAACAGCTTGTGGGGTTAAACTGTTTGTCCACATTGTTTTCAGGTTATTTCCTATGACTATTGTGACTATAAGCACCAACACCAATTATCTTGAAAACCAAAGCAGAACATTAATGAGTTTAAATTTAAATTCATCTGACTCCTCGCCCCTGTGATTGACCTAAATTAAATTTTCCAATCTCGGTTGGCAATCACTTTAAACAATGGTAACTAGGAAGCCCATTGAGTGCCTTGAGAAGAAAAGAAAAAGAAAAAAAAAAACTTTGCCCACCCACACAACCTTACTAATTTCACTCCAGAAGAAATGGATGGCACTGGCAATAAGGCAAAGACAATAAGAGATATTTCTCTTCAAAATGTCAATCACTTTAATCAGGAATGAGACTGCCATTTTAGAGAAAAAGTCTAAAAATATGCTGTGGGGTCGACCTGGGGGTCCTCTGCATCTTATCTCAAAAATGATATTTTTGGCTCCCCAAAAGTAGGATGTCTGCCAATAGTAGGAAAAATCTCATTACTGTTGCACTAAAATAGAGTGTGGGAACAAGAAATTATTCCACACTGACAATAAAAGGCATAAAAACAGCAAGTGTAAAAATTACTAATACCATGGGAAATTTGCAGGGTCTCCTTGTGCGACCAAAATACACAGAATATAGAATTAAGATTGCCTAAAATAAACAAAGAAGGCTTTAACATTTCAATAAGTGCAATATAACAATCCAATTACTTCTGTGACGTTATTATGTGTATTGTTAATGGTCAGAAGCACACGTCAAAAGCAAATATGATATTTGAAGAGCTGGAAAAAAGCAAATCGCACAAAAAATTGAAGGGAGATGTAAAAGATGTTAATGATATTGACAAGTGACTTACCGTAACAGGAACGGTGATTATGATGAAATCTTAAATTTGGGAAGAAGCACAAAAATGACCAAAAATAGGATAAAACATTTCAATACAATCAGTGAAAAAAAAAAAAAAAAGAAAAGAAAAGGCTGTTGTCCTCATAATTGAAGAACATTTGTCTGTTCTGATATTCCCTCCTCCTCAGCATACATCTGTGGTACTACATCGCTTTCAAAATAAGATTTTCACAATAAAATGTTGCTTGTTTGTCAATAAAGCAATATCTGGAAACAATTTTTTCTAAAGACTTATTTACTCTTTATCAGTTGCATATCATTGTGAATTTTAATTTTAAGATATTTTCCTTTTTACTGTGACATGCCTGTTAAGCTAAGAAAACTAATTATAAGCAAACAGACAGACATGAATGAATACAAGGCATTCAATATATAGTTATTTGTTTTGATGATCACCCAAAACCAAATTGGGGCAAACAAAGATGGAAGGGGTGGTCATTCCCAATGCCCTGTGCATTATCTATGAGGCAGTGGATAGGTTGGTCATTTCCAATGAACTGACGCAGTGGATTCAGCAGCCATTCTCATTCATATGTCCACCAAATGTGCAAAGAACTAATTCTACACATTGCAATTAAAAAAAAAAAAAAAAAAAAAAAAAAAAAATCAGCCCAAAATACCCTACACATTCAGCAAGCTATTTATATTAGATTAATATAATACAGATGTACCCTTCTTGGTGATACCCTTCACTAAGCATGGCGATGAAAAAGGAAAGCGCACTTTATACTATTCATGAAAGGATACTGTCTTGATCTTTCTTGTTTTCTGTTTGTTCCATGCCCGGTAACGCTGCTGCAACTCTTCTAAATAACTGAGAAAACAAACAAATCAATTAATCAGTGTTAGTTAAATTCTAATCACAAATGCTGTTTAATAAAATTCGTAATGATTTTTGTATTTTATCAGCTGAGACTACCATTTTACTTTTAAAGAAAAATTTGACCCAAAACTTTCTTTCTTAATTCAATTTGACAAATTATAACTTACTTGTTTGACATTATATCAGTATATAAACCATTACTTACTTGTTTGATATTATATCAGTATATAAACCATTACTTACTTGTTTGATATTATATCAGTATATAAACCATTACTTACTTGTTTGACATTATACCCAGCCTTAGCACTGGTTTCAATAAACATAACATTTAATTCTTTAGCTTTTCTTTCACCTTCTTCTGTTGACACTTGCCTAAAATAATTGAGTAAAACAAACAAATACTACAGATTATACATAAAATGAAAAAATATTAAAAATAAACAGAAATGTAAGCAAAAGTTCAATTACTAGTATTTGGATGTCAAATCAAGTTCTTTTGAAAGTCTTTTAAAGCAAGTTCTTTTCTAAAGCATCTTCAAATCAAGGGTCACACAACTCCTCAAAACTCAAAATTCCCAATAAATGCAATCATTCTGCCCGGACACATTTGAACAGTACTTAGACAATAACATTTTTAATCTTTTGTTTGTAATACATGACAATCAAATCATAAATCACAGCAAAATTCACTCTTTGTGAAGCGCAACTTAGTAGCTGGCTAAGTCTAAGTAGGGTATGATATCCCCCCCAAAAAAAAAAATAATAAATAATAATAATAATAATAATTTTAAAAAAATAATAAATAAATGAATAAATAAAAAACTTGAATCAGACTAGATGTGAAACAGGACCCTGGAAACTTTGGAATCAAAGCAGCCCTTTCCAAACATAGAATGCCTCAGGTTATAGAAATATAGAGATGTGTTTTACCTCTTGTCTGCTAAATCTGTTTTGTTGCCCACAAGCATGATAATAACATCACTCCCTCTTTCTGTTCGCACGTCATCAATCCATTTGGAAGTTTGTTGAAATGAGTTGGCATCTATGGAGGAAAAAAAAAAGTTATGATCTTATTATTATACTTCAAAAGAGAAACAATTGCCAGAGCAAAAATAAGACTGACATTTAGAAACATTAGCAGAGAAATATATCTAGGGGAAAAATCTGTGGATGCTTTTGTTTCAAAGTCCTTTATCCAGCTTATATTTGTATTGATCCAAAGATATTTTCAGAACTAATAATAAGACATTTTTTGATCCATGATTATGCTTAAATCACCATCTATACCATGCCACACTTATCCTTATTATATTATTAATATCAATTTTACCAATAATTCTGTAATTTCACATATCAAATCTAAACATTTAAATCCTTAATTTTTGCACAATTGCTATACTCTTGATTATCAAAGATGTTAAATGATCTCATTTTTGGTTTTCAACATCAACCACATATTACAACAATTTTTTCTTATCATAGCAAATCAAACATCAAACAAATTCCTTTACATCTTATTAACTATAATATAATAAGACTCTTGCAGGTGCACGACATTCTTGGATTTTCTGTTTTTACTAAAATCTTAGAGCTACTGAAGAATTGTGGATATACAACAATACTCACTGGTAATATCATATACTACTACAGCTACTGAAGAATTGTGGATATACAACAATACTCACTGGTAATATCATATACTACTACAGCTACTGAAGAATTGTGGATATACAACTATACTCACTGGTAATATCATATACTACTACAGCTACTGAAGAATTG